TTACTTGTAAGTAAAATAATGTAAGCAAGTATTCTAACTCTCAAAGACAGAAATTAAATTACCTATCCATGAAGCTTTCTTTAAACATCTCTAATAGTTACATTTTAACTTATTTGTATATTAAAAATGACAAAATACCCATGTTACGGCTGATTTTCATCTTTGTACCATGTGACTAAAGATTTCATATCACTCAAGATGAATTTTGGACACGGTTATTATTATTAACCCCACTCAGATTTCTCTCACATAAAGGGGGTAGCAAATGGACCAGGTATCTTTCCTTCTTGGAAAAAAAAGAAGGAGTTCTAGTTGATTGGCTAGTCATAAACTGAGAGTTAATTTTCCTGATGACCTATTCAACTTGTAGGATAAATTATTCTAAAGATGTGCACTTATCTGATCTCCATAATCTAAATGGGATTTATAAGGGGAGTTCGGCTGCCCAAAATGGATCATTTTAGCACCCTCCCTCTTAAATTAATTTTCAGTTCGGGGAACATCTGATTCTTAGCAGCACCTGCTTTCTTCATGGCACCATAAGTAAAATCTTGTTTTCAAATTTAGTACTGTGATTATGGGCCATCATTTCACGATTAAGGAAAAGGAAAGATTTTTTTCTTCTGCTTTATTTCAGGAACTCTCAGACTAAATCCTAGATTAGATGTTGATTTCAAGAGCTTTAATGAGAATATCGTTAATGATGTGCATGTAACATACTATGTCTGTGTCTGTATTCCATATGTTCGATAATTATTAAGAACGAAGGATTTTAATTTTGGTTGGAACTAAGAAAGGAAAATTCCATTAGTACAAATTTCCTGATAATATCATAATTATTCATGATGTGATGTCTCATACAGATTTTTCAAAATGAATTCTAGAAACTGTTGGCACTGCGATGCTAAGCAGAATTTAACTGCTTCATTATACAGCTGAACCAAGATTTAACATGCTATCCAGCCTCATGCTTAACAATCAGGATAAATGATGAGGTGACCAAATTCCAAAGCACAGCATTATAGCTTTCTGAGGCAAAGCTCACTCTGAAAAATCCACAGTGCATGCCTGGGCTAGACAAGAGTCTGAGTTTGTCACCTCCCTCGCATCGTTCTAGTTTTGATAGGACTGCATGTAGTGTCATTAATGTGATTATGGAGAGAGAAACTAAGGAGCATCATGGTTTGCCCCCTGTGCTTACAAAACCAAAGAAATAAATGGTATAATGACTGGGAATTCCAGCTTTATAGTTGGTACAGAATATGAATCCATTTAAGTGGAGAACTGGGGACTACCCTGTATGTTTATTTTATACTGATAAGATACCTGATGCTAAACCAAGAAGCATCCAATTTAATCAGCAGAAGAAAGTGGACAGAATTAGGTGATAATTTAAAAAAACAAATCCCTAGGCTATTGAGTTTCCTCACAGCAAGTGTGTGCTTGGAGGGGAAGGTTTGGCCATAGGAGGTAGAGGGAGAAAAAACCAAAAACAAAGATGCTTTTAATGAAGAAATGGGTCAAGATATGTTACCTGAACTAATCCAGGTTAACATCTTGGCTACTGATGTACTATGCAAAGTTATCAGCTTCACAGAGCCCAGAAATAGACCAGTAAATAATAGTAACTAAAGGTTATGAATCCTTACAGAGCCATTTCTGTGTGAGCGTGATTTTTTTGATGTCTTTTTCTCTTCTCTTTCTTTTGGTTTTCCTCCTTTGCTTGTTACGTTTGGCTGTGCAAGCTGTTGTGGAGAGCTGCATTTAGAAGTAAAGCTTAATGTACTGCAGCACAATTTAAATAAGAGCTGAATAAGGGCTCCCTTATATTTGTTCACAGGCTTAATCCAAACTCTTCCCTTACTTCCAATCCATAAATATCACTGTGTTCCAAGCAAATGAAAATTTGTTTGCCATTTCTAAAGACTAATGAGACCTTTTTGTGGGTTGCAGGAGTTGGTTTTGACAGAGAGGCTAGCATACGCTGCTCTCTGGTTCATTCACAATCCGTGCTTCAGTGGAGATGAAAATTAAGAAGGAGAAAAACCATCTTGGGTATTCCCAGGAGAGTTCAATAAGAAATAGGTGTGGTATAAAAAATTATAATGGTTCATATTTTGTCTAGTGCAGATTATATGATGAAATGGAAGCCAGCCTTCAACCGGTTTCTTTAGAAATATCAAACGTTTTAATTGGAGNTTACTTGTAAGTAAAATAATGTAAGCAAGTATTCTAACTCTCAAAGACAGAAATTAAATTATCTATCCATCAAGCTTTCTTTAAACATCTCTAATAGTTACATTTTAACTTATTTGTATATTGAAAATGACTAAATACCCATGTTAAGGCTGATTTTCATCTTGGTGTCATATAACTAAAGATTTTATATCACTCAAGATGCATTTTGGACACGGTTATTATTATTAACCCCATTCGGAGTTCTCTCACATAAAGTACGTAGCAAATGTACCAGGAATCTGGGACAGATATTCTTTCCTTCCTGAAAAAAAAAGGAGTTCTAGTTGATTGGCTAGTCATAAATTGTGAGTTAATTTTCCTGATGACCTATTCAACTTGTAGGATAAATTATTCTAAAGATGCGCACTTATCTGATCTCCATAATCTAAATGGGATTTGTTAGGGGAGTTAAGCTGCCAAAAATGGATCATTTTGGCACCATCTTAAATTAATTTTCAGTTCTGGGAACATCTGATTCTTACCAGCACCTGCTTTCTTCATGGCACCGTAAGTAAAATCTTGTTTTCAAATTTAGTACTGTGATTATGGGCCATCATTTTGCGATTAAGGAAAAGGAAAGATTTTTCCTTCTGCTTTATTTGAGGAACTCTCAGACTAAATCCTAGATTAGATGTTGATTTCAAGAGCTTTAATGAGAATTTTGTTAATGATGTGCATATAACATACTATGCCTGTGTCTGTATTCTATGTGTTCTATAATTATTAAGATTAGAACGAAGGATTTTAATTTTGGTTGGAACTAAGAAAGGAAAATTCCATTAGTACAAATTCCCTGATAATATCATAATTATTCATGATGTGATGTCTCATACAGATCTTTCAAAATGAATTCTAGAAACTGTTGGCACTGCGATGCTAAGCAGAATTTAACTGCTTCATTATACAGCTGAACCAAGATTTAACATGCTATCCAGCCTCATGCTTAACAATCAGGATAAATGATGAGGTGACCAAATTCCAAAGCACAGCATTATAGCTTTCTGAGGCAAAGCTCACTCTGAAAAATCCACAGTGCATGCCTGGGCTAGACAAGAGTCTGAGTTTGTCACCTCCCTCGCATCATTCTAGTTTTGATAGGACTGCATGTAGTGTCATTAATGTGATTATGGAGAGAGAAACTAAGGAGCATCATGGTTTGCCCCCTGTGTTTATAAAACCAAACAAACAAATGGTATAATGACTGGGAATTCCAGCTTTATAGTTGGTACAGAATATGAATCCATTTAAGTGGAGAACTGGGGACTACCCTGTATGTTTATTTTATACTGATAAGATACCTGATGCTAAACCAAGAAGCATCCAATTTAATCAGCAGAAGTAAGTGGACAGAATTAGGTGATAATTAAAAAAAAAAAAACAAATCCCTAGGCTGTTGAGTTTCCTCACAGCAAGCGTGTGCCTGGAGGGGAAGGTTTGGGCATAGGAGGAAGAGGGGAAAAAAACAAAAAACAAAGATGCTTTTAATGTTAGCTGAACTAATCCAGGTTAACATCTTGGCTACTGATGTACTATGCAAAGGTATCAGCTTCACAGAGCCCAGAAATAGACCAGTAAATAATAGTAACTAAAGGGTATAAATCCTTACAGAGCCATTTCTGTGTGAGCATGATTTTTTTTATGTCTTTTTCTCTTCTCTTTCTTTTGATTTTCCTCCTTTGCTTGTTACTTTTGGCAGTGCAAGCTGTTGTGGAGAGCTGCATTTAGAAGTAAAGCTTAATGTACTGCAGCACAATTTAAATAAGAGCTGAATAAGGGCTCCCTTATATTTGTTCACAGGCTTAATCCAAACTCTTCCCTTACTTCCAATCCATAAATATCACTGTGTTCCAAGCAAATGAAAATTTGTTTGCCATTTCTAAAGACTAATGAGACCTTTTTGTGGGTTGCAGGAGTTGGTTTTGACAGAGAGGCTAGCATACGCTGCTCTCTGGTTCATTCACAATCCGTGCTTCAGCGGAGACGAAAATTAAGAAGGAGAAAAACCATCTCGGGTATCCCCAGGAGAGTTCAACAAGAAATAGGTGTGGTATAAAAAATTGTAATGGTTCATATTTTGTCTAGTGCAGATTATAAGATGAAATGGAAGCCAGCCTTCAACCGGTTTCTTTAGAAATATCAAACGTTTTAATTGGAG